GGAGAGTTTATTAATTTCTTTCGTCGTTAATATCACTAACAGCGGTTTGTGGTCCGTTAGCACTAAAAAACGCGATCCTATGAGAAATTGCTCTAGCCGTTCGCATGCCCACGTGGCTGCGAGTGCTTCTTTTTCGATCTGAGCATACCGTTGCTCCGCGTCACTTAAGGTTTTGGAACAAAAGTACACTGGTTTCCAGTTGTCGTCATTTTGCTGTTGTTCCAACACAGCTCCAATTCCAAATGCTGAGGCGTCGGCTGCGACTCGTGTTGGTTTGTCGACGTCATATTTTGCTAATACGGGAGCTGATGCTATAGTTTCCTTTAAATTCTGGAATTCTTCCTCGTGTTTTTCTGTCCATACAAATGACGTGCTGTTTTTTATCGTCTCTCGTAGATACTTGGTTTTCTCGGCAACATTGCTAATAAATTTCGCGACATAATTTACCATACCAAGAAATCGTTTGACTTCTGTTGGGTTGTTGGGTGCTGGATAGTCACGAATAGCTGCTATGCTTTTTGGGTCAATTTTGATACCTTCCGCTCCAACAACATATCCCAAGTAAGAGGTTTCTGATTTGTTGAATTCACATTTGTCTTTGTTGAGCGTTAAACCGTGTTTCTTCACTACTGTTAGCACTTTGTCCAAATTTTCATTGTGTTCTTGACTGTTTCTGCCCGTGACTAGAATATCGTCAGCATGCACGTGTATCCAGTCAGACTGAAGTTCTTGTATTATTCCATACAGTGTTTTTTGAAATATTTCTGGAGCCGATGTTATACCGAAAGGTATTCTTCGATACATGTATCTTCCGAAAGGTGTTATGAACGCGGTGTATTTTCGTGATTCCGGTGTAATTTCCAGTTGCCAAAACTCGGAAGAGAAATTTAATTTCGAAAATAACTTGGCTTCCCTCAATTTGGCAAGCGTTTCGTCCACTGATGGGAGCTGATACCGTTCTCGTCTCACGAACTGATTTAATTGCGTAAAGTCTGCGCACACACGTACTTTACCGTTTTTCTTTTGTGCTACCACCATAGGTGCACACCACTCTGTTGGACTGTCCACACGTTCGATCACTTCTTGTGTCACCATTTTGTTTATTTCTTTTTCCACTTGCTTCATTAACGGAAGGGGTATTCTCCTGGGTGTCGCAATGGAGAATGAAACTGCGCCCTCCTCAACACAGATCTTATGCTGAAAGTTGTGTAACTTCCCCAAACCTTTGAATACTTCAGGCTTTTTGCGAGAATTTCTTCTTTGGTTGATCGCTTATTTTCTAGCCTCACTTGATCGATCATTTTTATCTCGTTTCCCAACCGCTGTACGATCTGTAGTTTCAGCAAAGCTGGTTCTCCCAGAAGGTTTTCGTTCGTGTCAGCGACGTAGGCTTTAATGACTTCTTGTCTCCCACCTATTTCTAAGGGAATTTTTATTTTGCCCAGCACAGGACATCTGTTTTGGCCCAAACCTGCTAATACTGTTCGAGTAGGTTTCAATCTGTAATGATTTTTTTAATTTCTCTTCATAGTCTTTTGAGGTTATGACCGATTCCTCAGCCCCTGTGTCAAGTTTAAAGACTAATTTTATTTCACCACAGTTGAGAGTCATGCGAAACCGGCTGGATCGCTGCACTCTGTTCACCTTAATAACTCGATAAAGCTCATAGTCACTGTTGTCAGTGCTACTTTGATCTGCTTGTACATTTTCATTAATTCGTTTCGTTCGGCACTCAGACCCATAGTGACCAATCAGTCGACATTTTCTGCATTTTTGGTTGTTGGCTGGACATTCTGTTCTGGGATGGCTTGGTTCTTTACCACAGCGCATACATTTGTTTCTGTTTTTCTTTTTTTCTGGTCGATTCCCTTGTTCTCGACTACTTTTCTGCTTTTGTGGCTTTTTGTTCTTGACAGCGCCTATATGCACCCCCTCTCTGAGCTCTTGGTTTTCTGTTTTGATCGTCTCAGCTTGCATAATTTTATTTACCGTCATTTCTAGGGTTAATTTTTCAGTCAATTGTAGTGACTCGGATAATTTTTGATCCCGTATGCCCACTACAAGTCGGTCACGAACCAATTCGTCCTCTAACTGTCCGTATTTACAGTCTTTACCTAGAGCAACAATGGCAGTAATATATTCTTGTGCGGACTCACCTTCTTTTTGGTTTCTCCGATTGAACTTGGCTCTTGCATAAATTATATTTGTAGTTCCAACAAAGTAGCCAGTAAAAAATTGTTTCGCCTCTGCGTACGTGTCGAATGAATACTCGTCTTTCTTTTTCGTTTCCAGAATCTTCGTGACTTTCTGGCCCATGTGGAGCAAAAGACTATTTATTTGTACTTTCTCGTCTGCTGTGTCCAACTTTGTCGTTATTCTGTAGCGTTCATAATGCGTTAGCCATGCCGTCCATTCGTTTTTGTCGAAACTAAATGCTTCGGGAGCCGGCACTGAATTAATTACGCTTGGTTTTGCAGTTGAGTGCAGATTCTGGAGCATTTGTTGTAGGACGTTCAGTTGTTGGCGTAGGTCAGCGATTTCCTGCTTATCGTCGCCGTTGTCCGTCATTTTGTGGATTTTCTTGTTTGTTTCTTTTTCGAACTTATCCGTTGGTTGTTTTCACACCTGACACCATGTGTGGCCGTGCCTGAGAGCCCCAAGAACCCGGAATAATAACACTTAGGGGTAGCTGCTTTTTATTCTCACTCTTAACTGTCTAACCTCTCTTCTCACAATTCCCCAGCGCGCACTCGCCTAGTGCCCGCGCTGCCAACTTAACATATCAAGCATCCCTACAATAACCCTGCCAACTAAATTTTAGCAAGACACTGAACATAAAATATTTCTTTAGCTATAATAATACACTTCTATTTTACTTTTATGCAAATGGGTTATCCTAAAGATTAAGTTTCTACCATCAAACTTTTCAAATTTATTTCATAGATTAATTTATGGATTGATATAAATACTCATGAACTAAAATGTATTAATTCATTGACACGCAAAATTGATGACGTCACCTGCAAAAAAATTAAGAAAGATACCTACAGCAAAAATAGCTTCTTCGACACATGCTTCCTTTTACTCTATCTCATTTCTAATGAAAAAAAGTCGACGATATTTGCTACGTGACTTATAAAGATTTTGTAAGTTAAAATCAGTGGTGTAAACGGGGTTCCGAATTTTACATAAATAATCGAAATATAGTTTTTGAAAAATGAGAAAGATGATAATAAACTAATTTAAAAATTGCTCTTGCATTATATAAAGAAAGTTATGGATGAGTTACGAGTATATTTAAAATTTCATAACAATGAGTTTGTTAACAACGATATATTACATTTTGAAAATGCATAGAAAATCCCATGCGTAAAAGTCAAGACGACTTCCCGTAACAGACATGCTACAATTTAGATCTAGCTGTTTCTTTTTCAAGCAAAAATACTAACTGTGTTGCCAATTAGTTCTTTAAGAAACGTCTAGAACAAATGGTCAACTGTGACACATTTACAGTATGTTTAAATACCAGGGGCGGCTTGTCCTATGAGGCAGGTGAGGCAGTGCCTCACCAATGAATTTTACGCCTTATTAGGATTTTTACTATTTTTTAACGACACATTTCGGCCAATGATTTGTGTCTTTTTTCTAAAATTTTAAAAATAAATATGGAAAATTATATTCTTATTTTTATCTCAGTAGGTACCCGTTGCTCCCTTAATTAAACAGCGCGCTGAAACTCTCGACACAACATGTATTTTGTGACGCGAATGAGGCAAACTCGGAGCTTGCCTCTACAGGGGACATAGAAATCATATCGTTAATAGGCAAGCAACCTGCAATACACTCATAAGCGGTATGAGTTGAAAAAGGACAAAAATGAGGCTAGCCTCATTTCCGTGCTTGCAAAAGAGATGGACAACAATATTTGCGCGCGGAGAACGTGCGACTAAAATGCAGTCTGCATTTGCAGAAGTATTCAAAATTAGGCCGTTAATTGTTTTGCCACAAATCTGTGTGTGTATAAATTGATTCAAAATTTCGGTAACAGAATTTTGTCTTAAAAGTGCCTACGTTTGTGTGTGTCGCGTTAGTGCTTTGTGCTTGTCATAATTTGATTTCGGTAATCGTTATTTAAGATTACGAGTAAATCGAAATTTTTCTCTACTAATGTTAAATGACAATAGCAGTTCTGTTTTTTCTACTTTCACGTATGATGATAAATTGTATGTAGTTAAGGAATTAAAACGGCCGGTTCCTGGTTTGAGTAAATCGTTAATTATTGATCTATAAAAAAGTTTAAAATAAATCCAGAGTATATATATTTCATATGTTTTTCGTTTTGTTTTTTGTTATAAATCAAATAGGTTTATTTTATGTTGTATTTGATTTTTTTCGATATGTTTTCTTTAAAGTTTATTTTAATTTTGTTTTTTTTTTTTAAGTTATATTAGTTTTTTCTGACCACGTTTCCCTTTCCTTTTGTCCTGTCATTCCCATCCTTTCCTTACAAGAGTTCCTTACACCTTCACGTTGGTTCTTGGTGGACAGTTAAATGAGTTTACAAATTTGTTTATTTGACTAAGTAGAAAATATTTAAGTAATCTTGATTTATTTATATTTTGGAGCGTATTGTGCTTTGCCTCATCAACTTTTCAAGTCATGAGCCGCCCCTGTTAAATACTGTTATAATTTATGTAATACATATTATATACAGATTTTATCACTAAAGATAATCATAGAATATCCTCGAATGTCGAATGTTACTTCCAACTTCATGCAATCTTTACGAAGTTACTAAAAGTGTTTTCTACTTCCTTCAACATAAATTTGGGATTTTATTGGTGGCACTTAGCCTCTTCTTCCTTTACATGTTTTAGAGCCCAGTTTTTGCAAAATTTTAATAAGTTAAAAATAGTAGAAACTCAAATGGTATTTCTTGTATTATCATTTATCAATAACTATTCAAAACCACTCCATTTATTGTTAATTTAATGCCCTCATTAGAAATAGTCCGATGACTTTGTACACTTCAACAGTACGGTGGCAAAGAATATAAACAACGTCTGTAACAAAATCCCAAATCCTGGCCACTTGTTCACCTGTTCTTTATCCAGCAGATAATCGTTAAACAGAATATAAGACGCACCAATTACAGATCCAAACGATACCATAAATCCGACCAGAAGACAGGTTCTGATTATCAAAGTTCCACAACAAGTGTTTGACGCATACAAATTAGGCTGCTGGATCAAACTGATCGGTATTAACATGACGATGACCATACCGGCAGTAGCGAATAATCCGGGCAGAAATTCACAGACGTCGACCAAGTTTTCAGCTATTAGAGCGATCATGATCCACCATCCGGAGAAAAAAAAGAGACTGGCCGTGCAGGCGAGGGCTGCGTTGAATTTTAATGGAGATACGTCGCCGATACATGGGAGAGTTAACACTTGGTACATTGTAAGGAGGTTGCGAAATTAATCAGTTTTTGACATTTTATTGATTTACATGTCAGTCGCGTAAGTTTTGGGATGGAAAAATTCGATGTGCTCTGAATGCCCTGAATAGGAAGAAAAACTATAGACAGTAACGATACTGATGGTATCGGTATATATAGTGAAGACTTATGAACTTTAAATATAATGAAGTGTAATAAAAACAACATTTGTCATAGTGCAGTTTTAAATTGACGATTACTTCCCCTTTAAATGTGAGTTAGGAGCAGTTATAAAATATACATTTGAAGATTTGTGCGCTTTAGAAGTTGAATTTAAAATATATGATGTGTATAGTAAGTACTAGGATTACGAAATACCCTACTGAAAATCATTAAATTAGTATGTATTAAGGCGTCCTTTAATTTTTGTCTTCTCATTCATTTAAGTATTACAGGTAGGACCTACTCTGTTTATCTGGTTTTCTTCTTTCAATGCTTTAGAATTTTAGTTTTAGAATTTTTTCGAAATATTTTTGTTTGATTTTAAGCGCATTATTCCATTATTTGCCTGCGCTGTATATATGTATATAGGTACATATATACAGGGTTAGTCACGAGAGAATTACTTCTGAAAATTATTTTTACGCAACCCACAATACGAATACCGTGTACCACTTGATACTAACTGAATTTAAAATAAAATGTTTAATCCATGATCGCTTTGAGTTTGGCATCTCATTTTGACAATTGTGGAAAAGGAGGTTACGCGAGTGTCCATGGTGGTACCGCAGCCAGTCGACGATCTTCTTCGGCACCGCTAATAAATTTGTCAGTGTGTCTCTTGATCTTTTGCAACCGATTAATCACGAGAAAATTATTTCTAAAAATTCCTTTTACGACATTTTATTCAAAGGTTACAACATAAACTCAAACAAGTAAGTAAATAATTTAACTACTAATCTGTTGAAAATGTTGGACATTTTGGGGGGATGCTACGGCTTTTTTGTAAATGGATGGTCGAAGAAGCCCAGAGGTTGCAGATTTGCATTTCGAAGAGGTTCTAGGTGACGCAGAGATGGCGAATTAACACATGCACATTAGCGGCGAACAACATTGGTAGAGCACTTACGGCTTCAGTATAGCCCAGATTGATCTGACCGTATGTCGTCGATCCAATGGGGCTCTAGAGCCGAGTCAACGATGAAAAAAAAAATGGTAAAAATTAATTAACGTCAAAGCGACACTGCCAAAGTCAAAGCAATCATGGATTAGGCATTTCATTTTAAATTTAGATAATATCAAGTGGTACAGGGTATTAGTATTTTGGGTTGCGTAAAAATAATTTTCAGAAGTAATTTTCTCGTGACTAACCCTGTATGTTACTGGACATAAAAAATATATTACCAAGTCCAATGTTGCAGTTCTAGGTATTTATAATGCGGTTCTGCTAAATAACACAGAAGCTAAATTTATGAAGTTCCTATAACTTTATAGATGTTAGAGAACTTTACAAGTACTTAATAATATGCTTGCATATCAGCAGGTCATATTTTTTTTTGAACTAAAAAAATAAGACAAATGTATGTAATAGTTCTAAACCTCCACCGTTTACCATGTTTTATTGTGTAATATGTTACACTAATAAACGTATTAAACATAACAATATTGTATTCATGTAATTTTAAAGAACTGAGAGGGTTATTTATGAAATAATCAATAATCTAAATCAGTTATTCATTCTGCAGAATTGCTTTCCCTCGTTTAAATAAAGAATGATTCATCTAATTTTTGTAAAGTTGTAACAAAAACAGTATACCATTGTAGTGAGTGTTTTCTACCACACCTAAAAATTGATAGGTACCTATATGTACTTATCCCCTCTACAAAGTTGTTGACGTAATCACAAAGAAGTATTAAAAAATTCGCCCGAGGATGTGTGTGAGGTTGATTGTTGCAGATGTGAGAGGATGGCCGTGTAAATAACTTTAGACATTTATATTTATATAAAACATGGCACTAGTTGGCTCAATTATCATGATATTTCATTTGAAAAGTATCAAACAAAATTATTTGGGCCGCTACATTTTGGAACAACAAAATATTTCTAGAATTTAAAATATCATCTTTAAAGCAAACGCTCTCGACAGCTACTGAAACAACATCTTTTTATGTTCCATAGTAACACAAGGCTTTTTTGTCTTGATACTGACATTTTATGGTCAGGAAAGAGTTAATAACATTTAATTTTCTTTTAGTTTGAAGGTTGTATGCTCCGTGATCACCAAACGAAGTTATAAGTTATTTAAATTTTCTGGTGAATTATCCTGAAATTATTGTTCCTAGTGTCCTAACTTGCATATACATATGTATTTATTATGTAAAAAATGAAAACCGAAAAACACGATAATTTATCAAAAGATGTGTTTTTTATGAGAAATGCTAAGCCTGGAATTTAAGCAGTTATTAGAAGGCTCATTATTTTGACAATTATTCTTGTTTAATAAACAGACCTATAAGGAATTCACGTTCGGTAGATGTAACTAGATTTGGTAACTTTTTTTTTAAGCTGTGTAACTGCGGACATAATTGTTCTAGTGTATAATGTATTACTGGAGTGTCAGAAAGTAAGTATCAAAAATGTGACATTTAAGTAAGTAAAGGTCAAATATCGAAAATGTGATGGTTTTGTGGTAATCTGGTGAATCCATTTTTGAACCAAGGAGAAAATCGCATCCCTCTAAAAGCCCAAAGAGCAACCCGCATGTAAAATTTTGAATCTTTTCCCTTCACTAGTTTTTTTAGGAGGACAAGCTTTAATGTCATCATCATGGAGCCACAATTTCACCATGGATCCGTTCTGGTATATCCATGTCTCATCCAAGAAAATGAAAAGTAAATCTTCACCACAATCACGCAATTGGAGATAGGTACCGCCTTAGAAATTTGATTCTGGCAGCTATAAGGGCCAATTTTGAATCGAACATGTTAAAATTTAAAGGTTGTTAAAAAATAAACAACCAATCAGCTTTATGAATTTAATTCGTTACCATGGAAATTCGCAATTTAACACCCTTTAAATTTAACAGGTTTGATTCAGAATTGCCCCTATAACGTGTTTAAAATGTGAAAAACTTCGCCTTCGGAAACCTAAATTTATACGTGTATTACGTACAATTATTTTCAAAGCCGAGTGTTTTACCTCTTACAAAACAATAACGATTATATAAAACTTAAAAACCAATTGTAGAACGGAACCAACAAAGCATGTAGGTATATAAATCTGCGCAGTCGTCTTTCTGATTCTGATTATAATATTAACGGCACAAGCGCCGCTATATCTGTATTATTTTAAAATACGAAAAACACTCGACAACACTAGCGAACTTTACGGAGAATATTTCTGCCACCAGTTTAACTGTTTCCGTTTTACCCATTTTTTTGAAAACCACGAAATATTTCTTGTTTCTTTTCCTTTAAAATGAGCTTTCTCGTGATTACTTTTATGGAAATTGTTTCCATGCTGTATTTAAGGATTTTCTTGAAACGAAACGTGTTGAAATTAGAAAAACTTCGGTTTTTTTTGCACACAATTCAGATTTGACATTTGAATTAGAAAATTAGACAGTTGATGCCAATCTTAAATTTCTAGTGATCTTAAGATTGCAACTTAACCACAGAAAAGTTTCTGTCAGTTACTTCTACCGAACGTGAATGCTTATTAATAATTTCAAAGTTTTAGTCTGTTTTCCAACCTAACATCAAAACAGTTAAAAAACCTTAAAAAATACTTACAGTTAGCTCAGAACAAATCGGTCTGTTTAGGATAATTTGATTTTTAGGTTTAAAACTATAAAGTTAAAAATATCAATGTATTTTCTGTGAATACCAATTCAAATTATTGAAATTTCAAGATTTGTTTCCTGTTCTTAAAGTAGGTAAGTCTAAGTATATTATAAAAGCTAAAATTCGCTTTGGGCTCATAAGGCTCATATTTCAAGGCATTTTTTTAAGTTTATACTACTTATATGTACCGGCTGTTTCATTTTTACGTAGGTACAAAATCAATAAATTTTCGAATTATTAAAATGAGTCATATTTAATTGAATTCCACACAGAGGGAAGACTGGGCAGTTAAAAGTGTGCACGCTTGTCTTAAGTTAAACCCGTACTCTCTAATTGCCCACACACAATCACTTCAAAGTTAAATTGTAAAATGTTGTTACGCAATTTTAGTATATTTTTTTTAAATCTGGATGTCAAGAGTAACAACACGGATTCATAAACTACAAATGGAAGAGTACGTTATTTTATAAAATTTAAGTAACATTTACTACTACAAGAGTTCAGAACAAATAGTTATTTTGAAGCAAAAACCTCAATTTTAGGTACTTTGCATAAACATTTACACGAAAATTTTAAATATTATCCTCCTCTTATTCCGAAATAGGTACACGATATTTAGAGAATCATAAAATCAGTTAAATTTTTACCAATTTGTCCTTTGTTTTTACTTCAATTTTTCACCATTTTGTCTTCTGTTCTTTTGCTGTCTACACAGGACAAATTAATTAATATTTTAATTCTCTTAAAAAAAAAAAGGACAATATTGCCGTGTCATAAAATTGTATCGTTTTGTTTGTTGGTTTCATTCTGAAGAATCGTTGCATAAAACATTTTTAGTAGGAATTTTTTCACGCAAAAAATACTTGATGACTGATTTATTTGGTGTTTTACTCTGTTTTAAGAAAATATCATAAAAAATGTAAGACAAATAACATACGATATAAATATAATCTAGCTGTAATCTCTGAACGTATTGTATACATCAACGTATACGTATTGTTGGTTGTATAACAATTTTTTGACTTTATTTTTATTTTTATATATTTACTATTTTTATTATTAGTCATGATACAAGTAAATATGGTATGGACCATGGTAGAAGAAAACATGGTATAGGCATACGCATCTGGTGTGACGTCAAGTGGGGTGAAATTAGCGCGAAATTTAAAATACAATTCGTTATCCAACAACTAATTGACGTATTGGACAGAGCAATGACAACTCAAGCTGAAATTCCCTAGACTTCCCTAGCGAAGCTCACAAGAGTCACAAGGTCGTTGATGCCACCTAACGTCACAAATGGATGCGCAGACCATTTTTAAATTGGTACATCGGATGCCTATACCATGTCTCCTTCTACCATGGTATGGACATCCCATGAACCAAAACTCGTCTTCTTCTGCGCAACGTTATCTGACGTCATGTGGAATGAATGACCTTCCACTTCTGTGTTGACATCTGATGTCAAATATCAATTTTAAGGGTTATGAGGCAGTTATGAGTTTTTGTGGTTATGAGGGTTATTGTTTATTGTTACCAAACTGATGCGTAAAAACAAATTGGTGGTTTGCTAGCGACCTAGCGTTGTTAAAAAAATAGCGGGGATGATAGCAAATAATAAGAAAATATGTATATTTCAGCCGAAGATACTCTGCAGAATAAAAATTGTGAAACATTGCAAATTGTTTTTACACTGATTGTGAATAGTAATAATAATTGTACAAAGAATCTCGTACATTTGGTAAGTACAAACCAATAATTTAATACACAACTATTAACCAGTATAGCGATCCTGTTACTGTCATTTGGCCGTCAATTGCCTTGGTGGTAACACGTCTTCCACGACTGTTTGCTGGTTACCGGTGACACTTTCTCGTTGAATAGGGCTGGAGTTACTTTGGGACTGGAATAGTGTTCTTTCCGGTCCGTTAACTCAATAATTCTAGTACAGTCTGTCGTAACCTCAAATCGTAAACACATAGTTGACAGATAGCGAAAATTACTAGCCTCGCGCTATCTTTGTTTAACACATAGGTTAGGTTCCTCTCTGTCGAATTCCGACCACAGGCAGTTTGCCGTACTTTCTAAAAGTAGTAGTAGATCTAGTGACTTTAGTTGGGCTCGGTAAATATTTCAATTTCCCGCCTGAATACAGCCAGGTGACGTCAGCAAACCTGCGTATGTCCATACCATATTTACTTGTATCATGTTATTAGTATTAAATTTATACCGTTGATCAGAAATAACTGAGTCTGTTGGCAGTAGTTTCTTAACAAAAATGTAAACTTTTCTTTCGTTTATGTTGACACAACGGAAGTAATTGTATGACAGATATGTCAATCGTGACATGTCATAAGTTTAGATCGCTTAGATTATCTTTTGAATACATTTTGCAAATTAAAATGTCAACAATCTGTCATTTTTGACAGCTGAGAACCAGAAATTATACAAAACATCATGATATTAGCTGTTCAAAAATTAAAAGACCACTTAACCGACAACATTGTCTAGAGAGATCTTTGGTGCCCAAATGTGCTGTCGCTGTCAAAAAAATTAAGGTCCTCGTTCCCTCGTTGTAGATTTATTACTCGGGACAACAAACAGTTGAGAAAGATGATATGATTAATAAAATAGTACTCATAATAGCCTTTGGATCCTATGTCATGACAACAACAAAAAAAAAAACGTTGTAAACAATAACTGGATTTTTTTTATCAAAATGTAAAGCAAAGATACGCAAGAGATTCGTGATGCTCCTGAAGCTGCTGTACTGAATTTGTGGCCTCTTAAATTAAATTTGTCTATGTATTTCTCTCCCTAGAGAGCAAATGTTCTGTTTTTCTCCAGATTTTGCGGTCATAGAAACCGACTTCTACTCCCGCGAGTACAAAGAATACATATATTTTTTCTACTCCCAAATGTATATTCACACTTTTCTAAATTGCATACTGAATGGAAATCTTTGCAATTGCAGCTAATTGAACGGATAGGAATTCATATCCTAACAAGAAAGGAGAGAGCTAAATAAGGTAAGTTAGAATAAATTGGTTTCTTTCAGGTCGGATGTTGTATTTTTATACAAAGGCAAGGTGTCGTATAGACTTATAATTCTTTTCCCTTCGTGATCTAGTAAGAATATTCACATACTACAAAAAAGTCATTACATTAAAAGCTCCTAATAATAATAGCGACAACCCACAGCGCTTCTTTCCCGAATTTACCTTATCTTCGTTTTGCTCGACCGACACTTTCTGCGCAGATATAGTATTTAACATTACTAGCATGGTAAAAGGGTTTTTACTGGCGGACAGAAGGAGCCAGTAAAAACCCGTTACCTTGCGTGTATTGTTCAATATTTTATTTGTTTTTCACTTGGAAATAACTATTATAAACTATTAAAAACTCTAGAAGGTCCAATATTTGAGAAACATCGTATGAGCTTTAGATTAGACGTATTGCCTTGGAAACGCACGTCAGCATGGCACTTATCATAGCACTTATTGTGTTGTCTACTCGGTTGTCTAGTTCTGTCATTTAGATTTTTCGATTTATCGTTTTCGATGTATTGAAATGAGTGTGGCGCAAGCTATATTACTGAGGACGCAGCAATTGTAAGTGAAAATTTGCCTGAATCAACTTTGGATGTCATTTCAACTTATAATAGTTTAAAATACATGGCTGTATGAGCACGAGCAGGGCTGTAAAATTTTTACAGTCTATAGCCAGTTAAGTGACATTTTCATGTTGAATACAGTGACTTGGTAAATTGATGTTTACAAGTGAGGAACAAATAAAAAATGTTATTTGTCAATTAGAAAGTGATAATGATTTCATAAATTGATTTGTATGAATATGATTGCAGGGACCACGAATAATAAATAGTAAGTAGTGTAAAAACTGTTTATTTGGTGAAATACAATTATTTGTAGGTATTGTTTAGTCAATAATGTGTTAGTACGAGTGTTGTTAACTTTTTAAATAATTGACAGTTTAATAGTTGTCATCACTGTCATTATGACAATCTGTGTATAACAACCATAACAACCTACCACACAAACCTAACATATCAACAAAACTGCGGTGTGCAAGATAAACAACGTTAAATATAGTTGGTTGTAGAAAAAGTAGACTAATAAAATAATATAGTCCTACACATGTAGTTTATGACTCCGTGTGAGTTTTTACCCGAAACGTCCAGATTTTTGGACAAAAAATCAAAATTACAAAACAACATTTTGCAATTTAATTTTGAATCTGCCAAACTGAATTCTTCGAAATCTTGCAGATGTTTTAAAGTTGTGATAAGTATAATAAATTTTTAATCAAAAAAATTGATGACATCACTTCAAAATATTGCGGAATAGATCATATCTTAATTGTGCAAAATATAACTCTATACTTGCGAATTATCACTGCATTAATATTTTTTAGATTTGCTTATACGGAGTGTCTAAAAAAAATTTATGACCGAGTCAATTTATTTTATTAATTAAATCAAGAATTGCAAAACTGAATATTTTGAAATCTTGCAGACGTTTTGAAATTGTTGTAAGCATGTTAACTTTTTAATCAAAATACTTATATCTGTTCATCAACCCCAAAAAATTGATGTCATCGCAAAATTTTGCCGGATAAATCCTACCTAAAATGTACAAAATATGATCATCAGTCTATATCTGTGATTTATCATTGCATTAATATTTTTTAAATTTGCTTATACAAGGTGAGTCAAAAAAATTAATGAATCAGTCAATTTATTGATGTTTCCTTCTCCTTTGCCACATTATACACCATTCTGTAAGCTAAGCGTTATGGGTGTAAGATGTAGTGACTTGTTTTCCAAGTGGAAGTCCCGAGTATGAATCCTACAGTGTTACAATTTTTTTTCCCCATCAAAACAAAAAAGGCACTCGATTTTCTCTACAATGTGAGAATACAAAATTTGAAAGAATATCTTGCAATTGTTTTTTTTTGTTTCTTTTTTTATAACTTGTTATAGTAGCCTGCATAGATATTGTAGCCGTCCATAGAGTCGAAATTTGCGAATAAAAATAAAATAAAACCGGTTCAAACGGAGCCGACGATGGCTTGCAAAGTCTGACATCACTCTGGCACACGTTGCACAGAGACGTATTTAATGTTAAATGTCATTTTTTCCGTTATGATATAATCTGTTTAATTTCTGAGCTGAATCTCGTCAATAAAATCGAAGCTCTGTTCACTGTACACAAGTTGTGGTATGGTATATTCATCGTTGCGGAGGCAGGTGGAGCGAAAAACCTGGTCATCTTAGCAGCAAACACGCCTATAAACTAGTCCACGTGGACTGTTTGTTTCCTGTCATATTTTAGTTTGCTTGAACCAATTGTGTTGCACCAAACGGTTATTACACTTGTTGAAATAAATTTTCAAACTTCCATCTTTCTCTAATTCATCGGTTTCGTAGCTGTGTGACAAATCGTTTGTCGTAGATAGAAAATAGTAAGATTACAGTGACCCTAAGATTTTGTGCAAACAGCCTTAAATACACCCCTGTGTGATATGACGCGTGCCGTAGTGACAGAACTTGCAAGCCGTCGTCGGCTCCGTTTGAGCCGGTTTTATTTTATTTTTATTCGCAAATCTCGACTCTATGGACGGCTACAATATCTATGCAGGCTACTATACAATATACTTACCTGCTGCATTTTTTAGTAGGTGCCCAAACTAAAGGTTTTTGTTTAGAAAATTTTGAAGTTACCAACACTTACGTTGCTGTTTCTTTTTGTTATGTTATCAAATCCTCATATCTCATTTGATTTTTGTAAAATTATATATGGAAATATCTAACTCTCAGGGTGTAACATCATTTATTTTTAAATTAATACGACAAAAATTAAAGCGAGCAAGAAAAACATTTTCAGGTAAATAATAATCTCAACGCAATTAATTTCTAAATTTAATTTTCTGAAAATAATTTATAATTTAACACATTAAAACCTATAACTACAAAACAAATCAGTTCCAAATTAACTAAAAAAAAAAATTATGCTAACTTTTAATATTCTCACAGAATTACGTTTAACAAAAACTAAGCACCGTTATATGCGCAGTCTGTCATTTCCTTTGATATTAAAAGACAAGTAACAAATTAATGTACAGCGTTAAGTAATTAATTCCAAAATTTTTTTAACTGTATTATTCAAAACCATACTCTCACTATTCACTACGTACTTAGAGAATGTACAAGTTTTGAAACTTTAAGTGACTTTACCATTAAAAAAATAACATCCTTGAAAATGTATATTGATATTAACAATTGCATCAAATCCATTAAATACAAGTTGTATGCAAATCTGCCATACAATAAAAAATTGCTTCATATATTACAATTTCTACACCTGTAGCAACAAAACCAGCAAATTAACATATTAAGTTAAAATACGACTATTAATTAGTATACAAAACACGATTTCAATAAAAAAAAATATGTTTAAAAAAAAAAGAAAACATATTGCATGATAAAATACACTACACCTTCATTACTTCCTTTTAAAAATACCATTTATAATTTAACAGTTAACTGTATGTATTGAAGATAATTATATTTATTAAAATCCTATCTAAAACTCTTCAATCTGCTACATGAAGTCATCATAATCATCATAGTCATTTACATATGCTGATAGAGGCTGAAAGAAAAAATTGAATTTGAAGTATTTGTTCAGTGAATAATACTATATTATCTCTTTATTTACTTAAAAAGATATATTATCACACTTACATTTCCATCGTCCAATTTTAATTTGGCTTTCCCTTTGCCCTTATTTTTCTTTGTTTTTTCACCCTTTTCAATTTTTTGTTTTTCCAAATATAGATTATCTAAAGTATTCTTAATTTTCTTAATATCTAATGAGGACACTACAACATCCACATTAACCATAATGACTCAAACGCTATAAATAGTACTTACTAGTGGCACAAAGATTTCTTAAAAGATTTTCAGTGAACTGTGGATATTCCGTACTTTTAGATAAAGGCAGAAGCTTCTTAGAGAGGACGTCTGTGAAATCTTGAAACTCTTCCTTGGTTGATGGTAGGTCGAGACCCTCCAGTCCAGCTGAAGTGTTATTTGCGTTTCCATAACCAAATGTAGTTTCAAGTGCTAATTTTAAATCCGACTCTTTCTCCATCTGAATTTTCTCTGCCGCTGATATCTCTTGCTCTTCTTCCTGTTGTTCCCTCAGCCTTTTTTCAATCTCTTCTCTCTTACGCCTCTATTAATCCAGTAAAAGTGATTTTTTTGTACATGTGAATCAACAATACTTACTTCTTTTTCGGCAATTCTGTCCTGTAGTGTTGGTTTTTTTGCTTTGGGCTTTGAATCTTCAACTGGAGTCTCAACAACTTTTTCTTCCTCTTCATCTTCCCAGCTCTCCTGTAAACCACATTCATTGTATGCTCATCAAAAACTAGATCACAGGTAAAAATAATATAACTTTCACTACATCATGAGGCAGTTCTGTGATCACTAAAAACTTGATGATTCATCAAGTAATCACATATTTATAACTTTGTTGCCAAATAATGAAATTTAATTAACTCTGCCAAAGGATAAACTTATAAAAAAAACTTCTTACCTTGACGTCCTCATCTTCGTCCTCGCCTTCCCATTTGTTGGAAGCGAGCACACCAGGTGTAACTACTGGAGGCTCGAAATTATCGTCGTCTGAAATATCCCCGTCATGTAAGCAACTTCATAACGAAAAATACGTGTTGCACACTTACCCCACGATTCCATATTGTTGAAAATAGATTCCAAATTAGCACAAAACGACCTCAACCTCTAAATTCACGTGTGCTAAATGTGCGACTGCAATAAATTCCACCAGATGACACTGTCAAAGTGTCACCAAACCCACTTTTCTCGAAGCTTCCGCGAATTATCTAGGATATAGATATATCAAACAATACGTTTAGGCTTTTTGTGTCTTTGGCAAGAAGCAGAAAAATAACCGAAATTGTTTGAAAACGTCGAATTTACAACCGAAAACGACCCTCGAACACCCATTTCACTTTGACACTGACGAAGTACTAACACGTTGCCAACATAACTGTCAATGTAACAACTGAAAGGAACCAAACCTCGATTTCCTTGATTATTCTTGCTTAATAATAAATTCACAGATACGTCACATATTCTTGAAAATGTGTTAAAAACGCATGGCCCGCACTTAATTTAATTATTTTGCTCTGTTTTAAATTAAAACATAAAATTAAATTATACAGAGCCGGAGTGAACACAAAGGACGCATCTTTGTTTTTCGAAAATACTTGTTTCATTTTGATAAGGTAACGTTTTGTTAAATTTGTAAAGGAATAGATCAAGGTTATTTTATAGTGATACTATAGTCATCACTATAAATTAATCTTGGTTTCTAGGCTTGTAATTCAAATTTTATCCAATCCGGTCCTGATGTTAGAACGAAACTTTTTGTTAGTAACATACAGTTGATAAGTTGGCAACATTGTAAGTTGTCAAATGTCAAAGGGTCAATTCTAGAAGCGGAGCGCCGTAGTTCGTTCTCGTTCAGTTTCGGTTGTGTATTGCTGTAAATGTATCTTCTACGTTAAAAATCGTTTACATTGAGATTACTGCAAATGGTGTAATAAGCTAATAAGTATTTCAAAACCCAATAACCATGGTTGTTGGTAACACAAAAGTGGTCCAAGTGACCAATATAGCCCCCCAAGCTACCAAGGATCAAATGCAAACGCTTTTCGGCTATTTGGGCAAAATCGAAGACATTCGTCTGTACCCTACAATTCGAGATGTCTCATGTCCTGTGCAGTCTCGAATTTGTTACGTTAAATTTGTAGATTCAGCCACAGTAGGTGTAGCCCAACACATGACCAACACTGTATTCATTGATAGAGCTCTGATTGTAATTCCTGTCATAAATGGAGATATTCCTGACGAGTACTATGCCCTCGAGATGACAAGAAATGGTACAATCGTTCCAGGCTTTAATGTCAACGAACCTAAACTGCCCCCGCATGTAAGTAATTCGTTTCAAGGTACTGGCGAAGACAAAGTCGTGGTAACGACAGACCCACATTTAATTGACAACGGTCTGGCACCGTATCCACCTCTACCAGCCAAGTACGACAGCATTAAAGTGGAAGAAACCCGCCGAACTGTTCAACTTGTCAATGTTGACCCCACTATTCCATCTGACGAAATAATCCAATTTTTCACACAAGCTGGAGAAGTCAAATATGTGCGCACCTGTGACGTTCCGTCCGACAACGCCACACACATTTTAATCGAGTTCACAGAACAACCGAGCGTCGTAAACGCCCTAAAATTAAATGGAGAGGACTTCAAAGGAAAACCCTTGGAAATCATCCATGCCATTCAACCAATCATCAAACCTCAAGCGAAAAGCAATGAAGCCGCCCAGAAGGAAATAGAAGAAGCAATGTCCAGAATTAAAGAAGCGCAAAACATGATCAACGCATCCATAGAACCCGTCATTGGAATGCTGACCAAGGATAAACGAAGTTCACGCAGATCCAGGTCGAGATCCAGAGGTAGAAGGCGTCGATCGCGCTCGAGATCCCTATCACGTGGCTCTCGCAGCCGCCGCCGTCGCTCGACGTCACGGTCACGCAGATCCAGATCTCGCGATCGTCGAAAACGCTCGAAATCTAGATCGAGGAAGCGGTCCAGGTCGCGTTCGAGGCGATCACGCTCCAGAAGATCCAGATCTAGACGATCGCGGTCTAAATCGGCGTCGAAAACGAGGACTAGACACAGATCCAAAGAAAGAGAATCGAGAGAATCGCGGGCTAGGTCTAGAGACAAAGATAGCAAGACGAGAGATCGTTCGAAGGATCGCAAGCGAGAGAAGGACAGAAAGTCGAAGGAAAAAGAAGTCAGACGTTCAAAGGAGAAAGAGCCGAGTAAACCGAAGGAAAAACCGACTAGGGAGACGAAAGATAAGAAGAGCGATAAAGAAAGTAGTATTGAAGCTGCAGCTGAAAAGAAGAGGTCGAGGTCGAGGTCGCGCAGTCGCAGGAGCAGGTCGCGGGATCGGAAGAAGGAGAAGGATAGGAAGAGATCGAGGTCTAGGGGAAGGAAGAGGACACCGTCACCGAGGCCCTCTAGGAAAAGGAGTAGGTCCAGGAGTCGAGATAGGGATAGGAAAAGGGACAAAAAGGATAGGAAAGATAAAAGAGAGCGGTCGAGGTCAAGGTCGAAAATTCCGAGAAATTATGATGAAGAGGAAAAAGGCTTTGATTCTGAAAAGGAGAAATCGTCGGCTAGAGAACCAGATTCTACCAACGAGAAGGAGTCATCAGAAAAATCTGATAATATGGATATTTCTAATTCACCATAGCTTGATGTATAATATATTAATTCGTTTTTTCTCTAAATGTAAATTTAACATAGTATGTTATAATTTTACGTTTGTATCTATAGCTCTCAATTAATAAATCGCTTCAAACTCCTTTTTTGTTTAAATTTTCATGAACGGTAAAGAAACGCATTTTTTTTTAACATCAGAATCGTTGGGGAATTTTAATATAGTAGGTGCCCACATGACACAAAAAATCAGAAATTGTTTTTTGTTTTATTTAAAGAGTTACGCACCAAAGTAATTGTTGTTAAACAACACTTTACAGGGTCAAGTCTGATTAATATTTGGAAACTGAACTTTGCTAAAAATAACACACATTATTCCACAGAGAAAGTGTATTCTGTAGAAATACAAGACTGTAACTTTTATAAGAATTCTGAACATTGCAATAATATAACATTATATTAAAATGTAAAAATTAACAATTACAATTTTCCATATTTCAATTTATTTTTGAACTTTTTAGGATTAATTCCATATGCTGACAGCCTAGCGTCAGATATGTCTGGAGTTTGTTTTTTCTGTTTAAATTCTTTTTTCCTTTTTTTGTTTGGAATATTATCATTGCTTGCATTTGTTGAAAGTTTCCTTTTTTTACTGATCTTTGTTAAGGCTTCATTGTTTTCAACAGCACTGTTGTTACTTTGTGCTTTCTTGTTTTTCTTCTTCCTTTTCTTCTTTTTATTTTGTTTATTTTCAGACGCGGTATCTTTAATATCTACCACCTTATGATCTTTCGTGTTTTCAGAAGCTTCTACTTGCGTTTGTTTCTTCTTCTTTTTCTTCTTTTCCATGTGTCCATTTATAAACTCTTCGTTCTCTTTTTGTTGTTGCTCTATACTTTCACTTTTTTCATCCTCTTCCGGTTCAATTACACCCTTTTTACATCTAATTTTTTTCCCTTTCTTTTTTTTCTTACCAATAATCTGCTTGGTTTCTTCAATTTTTTCACCTTCATCATTTTCTTCGCTTTCAAACAAGCTTGGCAAGATTTTCTTTTTCAATTCAATATTTTTGCCTTTCTTTACATACGCGATTTGATCATATTTTTCTACATGATCAGGACGGTGTTGTAAAGCTTTTTTTAGGGAACACCACTTATTTAATTCACGATCTTTTGCCATTAATATTTCTTCAACAGTTAATCCGAAATCGTTTGGGGCTACTTTTCTGTATTTAAATTTGCAAGGTATATCACCTATTATGTCCTCACAATCAAGCTTGTAATATTCATCTAAATATTCTTCATATGATTTGTCATTAGGATCAAACACCGGTTTTGGTTGGCTGACAGCTTTAGCAAAAAGAGATTTTCTTTTACGTTTTTTCCTACCTTTCGTGTTTTCTATTAATTCTTGTTTCGCTGCAGCTTTTGGGTCATAATCACAATCCATCTACAAATGGAACATTAGTAGCACAGTTGATGCGTTGCATTTACTTACATTAAAGTCTTCATCTTCACAGTGAGGTACATTATCTTCACTTAATTCACCTGCTTCACCTTTGTCTCCTTCCCACCGTTCCCAGTTTTCTACAGAAAAGTAATAAGAGTTTTGTTAAACTATTTTTCAGTGTTACCTAGTTCTAAGTACTCATCAAGTTCTGGAAATACAGGTTTGACATTTTCTTCAGGTCCTTTGTAGAATTCATCATTGAATAAACTCTGCATTTTTTTGTCGTGAGCTTCAGGATCAAAATCTCCCTCTAAATCTTCATCCTAAAAAATTACAAAATAAATATATGCATTTCTCTACTTCAAAATTGTCACTTTAAATTCTATGTCATCATTTCCCGTGATGTCTTTTAACTGTTGAATTTTATCTTCAATTTCTTTTTTTTTTAGTTCTTGAAGTTTTTGTAATTCTTGCATCTTTTGTTCCTTTTCTTTCTGTTTTCTCTCTTTAGTTTCAGCCCTCTTAAGTTTCCTCTTATCATCTGTTTTTCTTAGAGAATGTTCCATAGTTCTTGGAAAACGTTTGATCTACAATCAATTAAATTACAAATAACTTCATGTTATATTAATATTTAATACACTTACAAATTCTTGATCAGGTTCCTCAAATCTAAAATTATACTTGTGTTCAAATTCTTGTTGTTTTTCTATTGCATCTTCATCCTCTGATAAATCCTTATCAGAATCATGTATTATTTCTTCATATGTTGGAATATAATTATCATCTTCTTGGCTCAAAAATCTAAAATTATTATTAAAGTCCTTAATGGAAACAACTAAATGTTCTTACTTTTTCTGTAGAATGTAATCCCTCAAAAATTTTTCCCCTTCATCTAACTCTGGATTATTCCAATAATCCTTAAGAGGTTTCAAATCGGCCTCTGCTTCTTTATCATCAATTTGGTCTTTCTGTCCCGCCAACCATTCTAAATATTCAGCTTCTTCTTTCTGTTTCTCTTCTTCAGTTTTATGCCTTACTTTAAGTATGCCACCCCATTCCCCATCCTCATTTTCATTGTCAGACATTTCATTCAATGCTTGTTTAAAACTTTTTTTAATTTTCTTTTGTTCCTCAACATATGTAGGTGAACTATAAAAATAAAAAGAATATGATGAGCTATTTCTCCCAAAATTTTTTTTACTTACACAGATCGTGAATTTTCTTCTTCCTCACTGTCACTAAATTTTCCATTTGTTTTTAAAATCATCTCTCTTTCATAATCATTTATATATAAAGGCTTTTCTTTTTTGGTCTTCTTTTTATTTACTTGTTTATCTTCCGAATCATCAAAAAATTTCACATTTTCATCATATATCCGCGGATCTTTGTTCTTCAAACATGATAACGTTTTAAAAAACTGTTTTTCTATTTCTTCCGTTAACTCGACGCCTTCCTCGTCATCATCAGAAGAAGTTGAATCGTCGTCCAGCAGTTCTTCTCCATATTTAGTTTTAACTAAAAGTAGATTGTTAGCTGCGCCACAAATTGGTGAAGTAGTTACATTTATTGAGCTCTTCTTTTCTCCTCCACGTATCGTAGTTCTTCGCATATTCGTTTTTTATGTTTAATTCAATTTCTGAGTCAGAATCGTCTTCAAGTATTTTGGACATTTTAGAAGTTCTAAAAATTAGTAATTACAGTACCAAATGTGAGGTTACGATGTCAAACGTGCCTAGCTTTGGTAACATTTTGTTGTTCGCTGTTGGCAGTTCGATTTGTCAACTGTCACCTGTCTCGAAAATGTCAATTTTATTGCAAATAATAAAAATAAATAAATATAAATGTGTTCGGTGGTGTATGTTTATACCAGAGTGTTTTATATAAATAATATATACAATTTTTATTAAAAATGTGTAAATATTTGTCGTCAACATGTTAAAAATGTGTGGCGGTTAAAACTGGTTATCCGGTGTAGTAATTTGTTAAAACATAGAAAGAATTGTTAAATGTCTAGGTAATAAGTTTACCAAATGCCTGCACACGCAGAAAAATTAACGAAACCAAAGAACATGTCTGAAGAACTTTCTGGTGTCACAGTTGTTATAATAATAGGCTTAGGTGTATTGACTTTCCTACTGTTGTTCATATTTGCAAAAAGGCAAATAATGCGTTTTGCACTTAGGTCTAGAAGAGGGCCACATGTACCTCTAGGGCATGATGGTTCTAAGGTAATTGCAATTTTTTGTCGCCATAGAAACAAAGGTCATGTTTTTTAGATGTTGAAACGAGAAATTGAAAGACGAATAGACCTTATACCTAGGATAGTATGTGAACCTTTATTGATAAGCAAAAAAGACCCTAGATATATAGTATACCCTGGTCAGCAGATTCCTGCTCACTACTACCGACTAAAAGCAGTTGATGATGTGAAAATTCTAGGTTATCTTTCAAATACCCTGAGTAACCTAAATTTTTACACTGTGTTTTTAGAGGGTGAAATAACTAAGCAGGACAGTTGCTTGGTTCGGCACCCGAGCGAAAATTTAAGAGCCTATTTACTAACAACCCTAGCAGCCCCACTGAATGGTAGCGGACAAAGATTAATACATCAATTCTGTGATCTTTATGAACATGCTCGTCATGACCCTAATCATTTCGGAGATGAAGAATACCAGCAATATAACCGGCTTTTATTAAAGTTACTTGATGCGTAAGTTGTTAGTGGTGGAAGTTTCACCCCTATATTTTTCATTTTAGGGCGAAACTACTAAAATCCTACAATAGTAGAAAATCATCTCCTAATCGGACCCCTCATAGGCAAAAACAAACAGCACAAGAAAAAAATAGAAATTTATTAGACCCAACAAGATTACATCCTTTACCTCCTAATTATGTGGTTGAGGAAGAAATTTTGAGCGTCTCTGAACGTATCGATTCCAGACCGACATCGCTGACTGTTCCGCCACTTGCTGACAATGAAACATCTGTATGATGTTGAATTTTTATACCAAATAGCAATAGAAAAAGGTTCATCTTGGGCCTACTACTAACTGTACGCTTAGCCAATAGTTAAATTATTTAGTTTCAGAAAGTAAAAATTTTATCATTCATGTAGTGTAGTTATTGTAAAGTCTGATTCAAATTTGAAAATAAATATTTCTTTAAAAAAATTAACATTCAGAGTTTAAGTATTTGGTCCATTTCATGTTCTTGTGGAACTCTGTTTCATGCCTTAGTGCTTGCAAGCATTGGGCGAACATGTTTCTGTATTCCTTGTGGAACATTTTCTCAGTGTACATGTGATAAAACCACTCCAGTGCCTGGAATTTGACATTAAAAGTATTAAAAAAATGAGAATCAAAAACTAACCTGAGTTGTACATATGCTCCAGTGGTTCACATCTAACAATGTTGCAATGGCTCGGGGAAATAATTTGTACATTGCTTCACAATCTGAAAAGTCTTTTAGAAAAACGGAGTGTCCAGAAAATACGACTACTGCTAGTATAAAAACGTTACACAGAAAAAAGATTTCTTTTTGTTCGGATTTTTCAACCGTGATTGCTTGGATTTGTCCAATCAATTCAAGCACCCATAAAACGCAGTCTGTGTTATTTTTGTGTTTTTCAAAAACTGCAGCGAATTGTTCGAAGATAAATGGAATAGATCTGTAATACGAACAAAAATGTATTGTTGGTTGCATAAGGACTCAATTTTGGGATATTTTGAAATTTACTTACTCAGTAAAAGAGCTGCCACTTTCCATTAGCCCGTTCAATACATTTAAGGGTGCGTTACTGCTATTTATTGCGAGGTAACAACGTATTATGACGGCTCTTTTAAACCACTCTGTACCGATTTCTTTAACAGACTTTGGTGAACTCATGTCATTAATGCATTGTGTTGGAAATAGGATAACGCATTCGAGGAGTAGTTGGAACAACTGAAATTAAAGATAATATTCAATTTATCTATAACTTGGTGTTTTGTGTATGTGTTAAACATTTTTCAAAATTTTTCACTTAAAACTTCTTCTCAGTAAAACTTTTTAAACTGTATTGAGTGATTCAGTTTAGCGGAACTATTAATACATAATTAATTTGAAAACCTTCGATTACCCTAATGTAAAATGTTTAGCAAGTTTTTCTGGAAGTGATTATCAACTTATTTTTTTTATTAAATAAAATGACATGCATATATGTAGTCTAAGTATCTGATGTTTTTTTTTTGTTTCTACATGATGTGAACTGATGTTCTCCAAACTATAAAAGGAAAACCCTTTCTCTGAAATAGACTAATAAATTGATCTCCGTACCTTACAGCTTATTTTTGTTTTTTGTGACTTTATTTAAAAGAAGTGATGTATTTTGCACCGACCTATGCCGACACCACATGCAGTTTCCCCACACAAAATGATTAATTAACCCACAACGGAGCAAAATATTTTGAATATGATTATTATTCTTATTTGATCGTAATTAAATACAGACGTGGGTTTTCTCACATTTTCTAGAAAATGAAGTTCTTAATTTTATTAAAAAATTGGTCGAAGGCCGTAAGTATAATCCGACAAATTCAGCTATTTAAAAAAATTATAAAATTAGATTTTACGATTTTCGTTTTGTGATAACCTCTGTAAAGTAAAAACCAGCGGCATAAATAACAGGATAAAAAGTCCTTCAGCACTAGGTAATAGCAATCTGAAGTGTTTATTTATGTTTATACATCGAAAGAATGTCACGTAGAAATTAGTTTGATTTGAATGAGTTTGTCTTCTTAAAACAGAGGACCAAAATTATTAATTAAAGCACAATCGAACAAAATGTTATGAACATTATAATTCTTATTTTATTTCGAGAAAATGGGGTGACTGACTCGTTTTTAATTTGACCAATAAAAAATTTGTGATGACGTCATCAACATGAATATTACTAGTCACAGCACAAAAGAAAAGTAGTCACAGCGCAGTGCAAGAAAAAAATTGGTAGAATGTTATTTCGACAGAACTTCCCTAGCCCCTAAAGTACTGTCGAACAAATATATATAACTTCGAAAAATTATTACCAACTTTAACTTTGAGAATTTTTTTTTTTCATCTTTATGTCAGTTTTTCCATATAATTTTTTTTATAAGGTCATTAAGATTTTAGCAAGGGCACATATATCAATTTAGTATTAATAGACTCCTTAAGAGTTTTGGCACCCTTGGAATCCTCGAAATCTTTGAAATTTAGAGAAGACTTTGAACTTTCACAGTTTTCACAAATTTAGTAACATTTTTAGAATTGAGTAAACTTTTGAATTTTCCGGAAGTTCCAGATTTTCTAAATGTCTTCGGATATGCCAGAATTCAACACTTTCCTCAGTTTTCAAGATTTCTAGGTCTTCCAGATTTTTCACACTTACTAGATATTTCCAGATTTTCTAAAATTAACAGACCCTAAGAGTCTTTAAATCTTTGAAATATTTGGAATCTTCAGAATCTCTGAGATGTATAGGAAAATAATCAGGATGTTCAAGACCCCTAATACTTGTAGGATTTATACAAACTAAAAGAAGTATTCTTCAGTTTTTATGATTTTTAGATTTTTAGGATCTATGTTTTGCTGAGTCTTTGGTATCTTTAAAAGTTTTGTCATCTTAAGAGTTAATGCGTTTTTTTACAAATACAATAATTTTAAAAACCCTTTTAACGTTTGAGTCCTTGGAGTATTTAGAATCTTTAGAGTTTTCAGAGTCCTTAGAGTCTTAACAGTCTTTGGAAATTTTGGGTACTTCAGAGTTACTAGAAATTTTACAAAGTTTAGAATTTTTATAATCTTCTTGGATGTTTCTTCTATTTAGAACCTAAAACTTTAGTTTATTTAGCATCTTTGGTGTCTTTACAATTCGCAAATTCTAGTGTACGAAAACTTTAAAATTTTTAGAATGTGTCGAGTCTTTAGAATTTTTGAAAGGTTTGAAACCTTTTAAATATTTCAAACATTTGGAAATTTTGGAATTTTTAGAATATCTACAATCTTAAGATTGTGTAGTTTTGAAATTTTGAGATTTAATATTTTCTAATTTTCTTTTAATTTTTGGGAATTTTCGTAACTTGTAAAATTTTCGAAATTTTCAGAATGTCCAGATTTTACAGATTAGCCCAACTTTTCAGATTTTCCGAAGTTCACAAAATGACCAGAATTTCTACATTTTCCAAAATTTCTAAAATTATCACGATCCGGTTATATCAGAATTTTGAAATTCAACCTTTTCCAATATTTTCAAGATTTCTAGGTCTACTACATTTTCCCCACATTTTCTTAATTTTTTCAGATTTTTTAAAATTTATAGATCTCAAGAGTCTAAATCTTAGGAATTTTTGGAATCTCTGGAATCTTTACAGTCTCCAAGATTTATAAGATAATAATTAGGGTGTTCAAGGCCTTCAGTTCTTTTAAGATTTATAAAAATTAATTTCCGATCTTTATGATTTTTAGGTCTTCAAGATTTTTCTTTTCTTTAAAGTCTTCGGAATTTTTAAAATCTTTGGCATTTTAAGAATTCACGCGATTTTTACAAGTTTTAGAAACTTTGGCTTTTTGGAATTTCTCTAGAACCTTTAGAACCTTTCAAATATTTGCAACAGAATTTTAGCTTTTGACCTCTTAGAGTCCTTATAGTCTTTAGACCCTTTCCAATATATGGAAATTTTGAACAGTTTGGGAATTACTAGGAGTTTTATAAAGCCTAAAATTCTGTAATTTCTAGGATCATTAGTACCCCCAGGTTCTTTAAAATTTGTAAGATTTTGTTGGATATTGTTTATACATATTTAGAACATTAGAACTTTAGTTTATTTAGAATTTTTACAATTCGCAATTTCTAGTGTATGTAATCCGTGAAAGCTTTTATACTTTTTGAACTTGAAACTTTGGAATCTTTAGAATCTAGAATCACTAGAATCTAGAATCACTAGAATTTCTATAGTCTTTAGAGCTGTCAGATTTTCATTATTTTTAGATACTTCAGTACTTCTAGAATTTGAAATATTTTAGACCTTTAGGATTTTTATCATCTTTCCAATTTTCAAGTATTTGGAATCTGTGGACTCTTCGGAATTTTTTAAACTACTGAAATGTCTTTGGAATTTTTATATTGCCGGCTTCTTTAGCTTTTTCATTTTTTGAAAGTCCTGAAATCCTTGTAGTCTTTACAGTTTTTGGCATCCTTGAAAGCCTTAAAGCCTGATTTATAGCTATTCCGCATACGCAAACGGACTCGGATGACGCAGCGGAAGAAAGTTCAACATAAGGTTTTAACATGCATTCATTTATAACAACTCCGCATCCGGAAGCGGGTCCGTAACCGATGCAAGTTCTTGCGGTTCTTATAGACATACAGACAGACAGACAGAAACAGGAGAACACTTTTTTGGCACTCTAAAGGTCATGACACGTCGAGAAAATATGGAAGTGGCAATTCAACCAATTGACTCGATTACCATACTTCCCTAGTTTACGCTCGGGAAGTAAAAAGGAAAGGGCCAAGTTCGCCATCGAACCTATGACGGAATGTCGCCGATTCGCCGACAAAGCCGCTGAACCACTGCGCCCCGAGTTTATATATCTCGTAATATAACGTTATTATACCGTGCAAAAAACTGTAAGCGAATTTGTATACTACAAGTATAGGAGTATATTTTTGTGTAACATTTAGTTCATTTTAAAATACGGTTCATTGAGATAACGTCATCAAATTGTTGGTGGGGATGATTAGCCAAATTTTGGTTAGCATCTATCCATCTACATGATATTTTTAACACATATATAAAATTTGACAACAATCGGTCAACTTTGTTCGTACTGTAGGGGTCATGAAACGTCGAGAAAACATAAAAGTGGCAATTCTTCCGATGGATTCGAATACTACACTTCGTTAGTATACGATTGGGAAGTAAAAAACGCACACACAAGGTAGGGTTCCACTTTTGTTGACGGTTACAAGTCAAGACCAAATTTTTAAATTTTTCAGGGGCCTTAAAATTTTGTTCAAATGTCAAAATTATGACGGGATGTTCGGGTTATCTTATCACAGCAAATAAATCCTTTAAAAAAATGTTCGTTGCAATTTAAAAAAAAGTGTTAGTATGCGTTGCGATATCGGCGCCATATATGCGTCATATTTGCAATGTACGAAATGAGGCTTTCCCCTTCGAGCTAAAAACAATATGGTTAATAATCTTCATCTGTTCAAGACATAACGTCGCGGAGTTTTAGCTGAGACGTGTGTGTACAATATTAACACCACCCAACAGACACTGTTTAAGTCAATAGCTCAAAAACTGGCGCAGATAAAAACAAAAATTTGACAATGACACAAATAAATCTTACTTTTGACGAGTTATCACTTTCGTTAAAAACATCGCTGATAATTTGAGCAATAACCAATTTATTCGCCTCCTGAATGTCTTCGTCCTTCAAAGTATGCTTCACATGTACCAAAATGTTGTTTAACACTTCTTCATTTCCATTTTTAAAAAGCTCAACTGCATTATAAATAGTGCCTTCCAAAAACGGTTTCAATGTGAACGGCTGCACACTATTAGCCAGATGTTTCAAATTACAATAAATTAGTAAAACATCATTTTCCTGAAAACATACTTCCAATATAATTTTTACAACGACGAATTAACTTACATTTGTGTGATCTTGCACCAACGCTTCTATATAATTTACAATAAACCTTCTCGCGGTGCCTGACAAAACAACCTGATGAGCTGCAATGTTTATACAACAATTTTTCGCTTCGGGCTCGTGGAATAGTTCTTGAAGGAAACACCAGTCTAGAGGCGGCAGAGGCTTGCTATATTTTTGGCTAAAGGTGCGCAAACATTGCAAATATACTTCTTTATTAGTACTGCCTTTCCATTTTAACATTTTTGACTTGATGTACGTGGATATTCCTCTCACGACACTATTTACAGGTAAATATGAATAATCCGCAGGCTCTCTCGTCCCTTTAACTTGATACACGAATTTCAGGTAGTTTGAAATTTCGATTGACATTAATTTAATAAGGAAATCGCCGGCTATTTTTAATTTTGATGCGGCGCAATTTTTCAAAAAACGGACCCAACAATGACCTGGAATTTTTCAATATAGTTTGGTTCACGAACAATCGAGAAAAATACCAGGTACGACGTGCCCCGTTCTCCTAGTGTTTAAAGTTTCTTCGTCGAAAAATTCTTCAGGCATTTGTGCTACGATTTGGTCTGTGGAGAAGTTCGTAAGGGCGCTTAATGTGGCGGTCCAAACTTCGTCGCTTGGATTTAGCAATAAATATTCCCATAATTTGGCAACAACATCCTCTGTGAGTTTAGGGTAAGCTTCGGAGTACGACAGTGACGGGATTTCGGCCATCAGTAGACACAGACTGGAATTTTTGTGTCACATTTTTACCAACAAAAAAATTAAAAGAAACCTTTTTATTACAGGAACTCTATTTTCAGACTTAAACATTGGCTCAAGAGTGGCCCATGTTGTTACAGCGTCAATGATTTCTGACTTACAAAGTAAAGTTATTCCATCAATTGCTAAAGCACACGCTGTAGCACCATCAGCGTTGTTGCATTCGTTTAAGATCTTGGATAAATGAGCCACGATCTCTTTTCCATAAAGTTCAGGTCTATAAATTGTTAAAAAAAATTAAAGTATTTTTTTTTATTTTTTGCTTACTTCATTGCACACAACTCCTTCAAAATGTGTGCTTTAGTCACAAAAAACTCCCACCTATCACCCTGATTGTTATACGGAGCGATCAAAAAATTTTCCAAGTATGGATAACATTTACTATCAATCTTCCATAAATCTAACATTAGTGTTGTACTAAATGTTTTCATCGTATTGCGTCCTTTATTCAAAGCTTGAATTGTACCCACAATCTTTTGAAAATTACTTTTAGTGATTGCCATTGTTGGAACAGCCTTTAGAAGCTGATAATGTATTTTTGAATCAGTTACGTTCGTCAATTTAAAAAGAATCACCGTAAGGACATCCGAGGCCAATGTTTTATTGTAATCAACGCACTTTAAAATTAAATCAAACACTCTTATGGTGATGGTTGTTTGTTCAAACTCTGTTAGAAACAAACCAGTTAGAAAATTAAAGATTTTGATGATAAAAAAAATAGGTGCGTTTTCAAGTTTTTCAAGCCAGCTGATTATGTCGTTCTCAGTTTTCCAACTCTCAAGTAATATGTACATTTGGATGGAAAAGTAAACTTCGCTATTTGTACTTATTAGTTCTTGCGAATTTTGAATAAATTGTAAAAACCCCTTTAGACGGGTGCGACTTTCTTCACTTTGTTTTTGTAAAAGCGAAAATAAGTTATTTGCGTATAAAATACTATCTCCTATTAAATCAGAAGGGTTTGTTATCCACTGTAAAAGTGAGGATTTAAAAATATTTTTCGTGACTGCATCACATTCTGCTTTTGAAATTATTACTTTACCTAAAACATTTTTCATTCAATTGAAGTTAACTTAAATATTATAACTTACTCAGTTTTAACAAATGTAACAAATACACTGATGGACATGATGACATGCACTTTGCGAGTGTCAGTAAAATTGGATTTAAAATGATTTTATTATTTACATTTTCTAATGAATTCATGGCACAGAACATCATGGTTCTTGGATCGAAATTATTTAAAATGAGCTGATATATCGCAGAAATTTGCCACAAAAGTAATAAGTCTGGATCAATAATACATTTTTGTCTATTTAATTCCGATAATTCAATTAAAAAATCGCTGTTGACTTGTATAGCATCTCTACTTTCTAACTAAAATTATAATATATTTTTTCCCTAAAAATAAAATAAAATAATAGTCTTACCTGCATCCATGACAACACTGTGTTAACAAGATTGCTATCATTTCTAAAAACCGCTTCTTTTTGTATAAGAAAACTCCACAATTTTTGTTTAAATGTTAACATGTGGTTTCCATCAGGGTGGCACAACGTGTATAAAAATACCGGTTTGTACAGCTCGTTGTAGTAAGAGATGACACTGAAATATGTTGTTAGTAAAAGTGTGAAAATAAATTTAAGAGAAAAACCTTGTGTCGGCGGTTCGGTATGACAACATAATTTCCCTAAATACCGAAGACCAATAACTAATATCTTCGTTTAACATTATTATGAATGGGTGTTGAGGCAATCGCAAATTGAAATTTGATTTGTAAGAATTATTTAATGACATTTCTTTTTCTAAATCCACTAATAGTAAACTATTTATTAAAAACGCTACATCTGATGAACATCTAAAAGCAGATAATTATTTAAAAATAGTCGTGTGTTATCTAACAAACTTGGTGGTTGTAATAACTGAGATCAAATCTGTAATTATAGATTTCACAAGGGCACAATCACCAGCCCGCACTATATTCAAAATTCCCTCTGCTGCTACTACATTTATGGCACTGCTGCTACTGAAACACTTTTCTTTCAAGAATTTAAATTCTGCTACATCTAAAATATCATTTTCTTTTTTATTTTTGATGATTTGGACTAGTTTGGAAACGGTTTGTGCGACCACCACGGGATCTCCAGAATTTAGTTTATTATTTAAATCTTCCATTGTTTATATATTCTGGACATACTCTTATTATGAAAAGAGGTTTTAATCAATAACTTTCCTCAATACACATGCTTTTTGAAAATAATTCACGATCAGGCAGCATGCATTTTTTAGGTTAATTCTTTCACTTTTGACAGATGTTGACAAACAATAATACGAGATCAACCAATAATGTGTCAGCAATCAAGGCCACATTAATCAGCTGACATAACCTACATTAAACTGTCAAATAAGAATGGAACACGTCAAACTAATCCAAGTAAAACTTATTTAAATTAATAAGTTCATGTAATAAATGAAAATTGAAAGGTAGCATGATTTCAGTGTACTAACAGATGTAAGTAAAAAACATGTGTTTTTTACGAAACATAATTTCCGTTTCGTGATTATTGTATTGTTTTATTTAGATGGGGTTATCAAGACAGGAAGTTAATTTACGCCGGTTACTCGCAAAATGCGAACTTATGTGTAAAAGTAAACAAAAAGATGATGAACGTATGCCTAAGTATGTTGAATCCCTTGAAGATATGTATTATGAAGTGAAAAAATTGTCCGAGTAGATATTGTTTTGTTTATTTAGTGTTTAAAACTAACGTTTAACTTCTAGCCCCAATAACGAATTTTTGGCTACTTACCTACGAAGGATAGCATTCATCAAAGCAGAATTAGGAATCACTACAAGTAAATATGAAACAGAAAATGAATCCGAGCTTCTTAGAGAGGACCTTTTGGGTCAGCTAATGCAGGAACTATTATGTCTTATTAACAGTGTGCTTGTAGGTGTAAGACACAGAAATGCACAAAAAAATCCTTCTACAGATGATCTGGACCAAATAATTAATTACCATGAGAATATGCAGCAGAAAATTACAGATGACATGCTTACACTTACAAAGAATCTTAAAGAACAATCTGAACTAGCTAATAAAATAATAAAAAAAGACACCGAGGTAAGTAAAAAAAATAGATTTCTGTAATTGTTAAGTGTGTTTTTACAGGTCGTGAATAGGTCCTCACAGCTGACTGATCAAAATTATGGTAAACTAGTTACAGAGTCAAATAAATTAGCTGAACATTCCAAAAGGGCTTGGAAATGTTGGATGTGGATTATGTTAATTGTTGTAATTGTTGTTTTTATAAGTAAGAACTGTTTGAAGGACGAATTTAAAACTAAAAATCACTTTTTCAGATATGGTTTTATTTATGAAAGTTATGAAGAAAAAATAAATATTTGAACTGGTTTCCTTCTAAGAGTGGAGTGTTCACTTCTTGTTTTCAAAAGTCACGTCCGCTGGGTTATAATGGGACATGGCTTAATGGTGGTTGAGTATTGTCCGTAATTAAGTTTTATTAAAAATGGCTTCAATGTGATGACTTGTTGCATAGTCAATAATTATTATAAGTTATCTTTTTGTACAATATATACAATGCAGTGACAAATATACACAAAATATTATGAACCATGCGTTAAGTTAAAGTCTGGCTTACTCCTACTAAAGTATCGATTGAAATCAAGCTGATACAATAATTGTAAGAGATGTTGCCCGTTTGCTTTTTCATGCAGTCTGTAAAGAATGAAAAGCAGTGATTCCACAATTGTATCTGTACGTTTTTGGAACTCTTCCAGTTCCATTACTTCAGGTTCAGTTAATTCAATCCCCCAGGTACTGGCTATGACACAAAAACTATCACACAACTCCAACAAACGGATGATTACGTTATAAACCTAAAATTTAAACTTATTTTCATGAAAATTAAGTAGGAAAGTTTACCTTGCTGGGTACATTAAACTGCACCGCAGGCATTTGGTGCAAGTGATGTTTGTTTTGGTATGTGTGACCCTGAAAAAAGAAGAGCCCCGTATATAATTTTGTTACAACAAAAATTAAATACATACTTCATCAGGCGTCAACACAAAAGTCTGCGCCAACAAATTACTAATAAATTCGTGATGAACTTTAATAATGTCTTCAAATTCATTAGCGTTTTCCACCGCCTTTAAAAGTAGAGAAAATTGAGCTTCAATCACATCTACTTGTAAATAATACTGTAGGTTGTTCACTAAGAAAATCAAGTGTTGGCGTAAGGTCCACACGCGGCGATCTCTAAAATTCAAAATTAAAAATTAAAATAACACACAGTTATCACCTACATGTTTTGTTTCCCAGACATGTGTGAATGCCACAACTTATTTAAATGTATTTGAGTTTTGCTCAGTCTTAACAGGTAGCAAAATAATTTATTATATAGTTCCATCGACTTTGGGTGGAACACTATATGTAGTGGCCAATTAATTTCAAAATTGAGCTGCAATTTGGACCACGGGTTGCCTAAAAGAATTATCAAGTTAAATAATTATTGTTAAATAACTGTTATCAACAAACTTGTTGCTTCTGACTTTGAAGTGCTGAGCTCAAAGCGCAAGTACGTTTTGTCGTTCTCTCCATATATTTTCCTCGCAGTTTCCAAAAAAATGAAATTTAAATTGTAAGCGTTGTGGTCTAGCGTTGTACTCTTTATGTGATTTTCTGCCACAGCTATAAACTGATGGAAAAGCTCTCCTCTTCCTAGTGCGTAATAGTCTCTAATGAGTTGCAGGTGTTGTTTTAAATTGCCCTCATCCAACATGACTGACCACAAATACTTAAAAATTACGATTTGAAAACAACTGCATGAAAAGTGAACAGAGATAATACTTTGGTCAATTTTATTCTACATTCTTCTATTGCTCTTTGAAACTCCACTTGATCGAAAGTTTGCTTCTCTAGAGCCTGAATTTTCTTGTAGTACTCTATGTCTTTTCCTTCCCAAATGTCTCTTCGATATTTAGTTTGATATTGATCGTCTGTTACTCTTTTGGGGTCGTTTCGCACAATCCACACAATCCGCCCCATAAAGAGTATACTTTCAGCTGTATCTATTGTTACAAACATAGGGACCATGTTCCAGTTAATATAAAATTTTCTTACTGGTGGAGGTCTTCTGATTCTGTTCCTCTTAAAAAAAGAAGAAAAAACAATAGTTTTAAGGCTTGTTATTGTCTTCATTTAAAGGGATATAAACCAAAAGTGTTGTATTAACCTATTTTTCTATTTATTCAAATGCATAAAAAATTATTAATTGTAAGTTTATATTTTGTGGCGGCACAATCTGTACTTGTGATTTATCATATTTTTTTGATTTGCATATACAGGGTGACAAAAAAATTAATGAATGCGTGAATTTGTTTTATTGATTTAATCAGGAACTACAAAACCGAATACTTTGCAATCTTGGAGTTGTTTTAAAGTTATCATAAGTATGGTAAATTTTTGATCAAAAGGTATTTGCTCACCTGGCCTAAAAAATTGATGACGTCACACAATATGCAAAGTATGATGAGTCTATACTTGTGATTTATCACTGCATTAATATTTTTTAGATTTGCTTACACGGGGTGTCTCAAAAAAAAATTAATGAGTAAAGCAATTTATTTTATTGATTAAATCAAGAATTACAAAACTGAACACTTTGAAATCTTGTAGACGTTTTGAAGATATTGTAAGCACGGTAACTTTTTAATCAAAATGTATCTGTTTATCAACCCCCAAAAAGTGATTGTCATCTCAAAATTTTGCCGAACAAATCCTTTCGAAAGTGTGCTTGTAATTATTTATCATTGCATTCATACTTTTTAGATTTGCTTATACAGGGTGACTCAAAAAAATTAATGAATTAGTCAATTTATTATTAATCAAATTAAGAATAAGTCATCCCATTTTTTCGAAAATGTGAGAATACGCTCGTCTTTATAACAATAAAATAATGATAAGGTAAGAATTATAATAACATTCAGAATATTTTGTTCAATTGAGGTTTATGAATAATTTTAGTCATCTGTTTTGAGGCGATAAACTTATTAAAATCAAACAAATGTCTACGTGACATTCTTCCGATGTATAAACATCAACATTTTAAACACTACCCATATTGCTTAGATACTACTATTCCCGTTGATAATGTGCTGTAAATATATTTTACAATGTCCGCACAGAGACGGTTTATACAGATATGCTTGTGATGCTGGACAACCAGACCCCTGAAGTTAAGGAAGCCCTTCTGGCCTAAATGTAACGGAAAATAAAATTTATTTGTTTTTAATTTGGTTATTACAAAAATACGATTTAGTCTTCCACTGACCGTTTGTTGACACATACGATCTCGAGATTGTGCAAAATGCAAAACTGACCACTTCCGAGCGTTCCACTAATTTATGACTTGCAGCCAGGCAGCCAACTGCACAAAGAGTGGCCGCCTGAGTTTTGTTTGCAGTATCGTTTCTCATTCTTATTTTGCTTTTTTTATCGTTCAATAAAGTATACCGCACACTTTTGAAATTATTGCATTTGCGTTCATATTTTTTCGATTTGCTTATACAGGGTGATGCAAAAAAAAAAAAATAATGACTCAATTTACTTTATTGAATAAATCAAGAACTGCAAAACCGAATGCCTTGAAATCTTGTAAACGTTTTGAAGTTATTGCAGGCCTTGTAAATTTTTAATTAAAATACGAGGTAAGCGCCAAATATTCTCGACCTGATATATTTGCGATTGCTTGTCGGGGAATTTGTACAACTCATGAAAGATTAGTATGTGTGTAAAATCTCAAGCTCCACTGCCCATTAGTTCTGACACATTTGAGAAGTAAAGTAAAAAAAATGATGGACTCATCAACAATATTTTAACAAGGACAACTCCGACACGTGCAATATGATACTAATACAGTAGAACCCCTCTTATCCGTACTAATGGCTGCTCGACCCCCCGCCGGATAAGAGAAAAACACGGATAATAGGATTGAATTAAAAAATGATTAATTTAACGTATTTATTCAAAAAAATACAAATAAACTTTAACTTTTATTTAAAATAGTCAGTTATTAATGCCTGTTTCTTTATCATTTGATTTTTTATTTTTCTTTGTAAATTGCGAACACTCATCAAGTCAGCAGCCAGTTGGTGTACCGGAATTCCTTGTCCAGATTTTTGAATTATTTCTGCTTTTTCCTCTAAAGTCAAAACAATTTTTTTCCGTACACCGGACATGGTTCGATCTGTGTCTTCAAAACGACTGAATTCTTAAAAATAATTACGACTGAATTCTTAAAAATAATTCCTTAACACAACATCCGCCCGAATAACTGAATCTGATTCTTGGAAAAATCGGGCTATCGCACGGATTTGTGAAATCGTCCAAACAGCACGGGTAACTGAGAGACCGGGTAACTGAGACACGGATAAGAGGGGTTTTACTGTAATAAAGCACTAGAGTGTAACGTTCTAGAGATTTGTTCAACAAAAAAATATAATGGATAATAGCAGTAATATTGTAAAAAAGGAAAATCCCAATACGACTTGAACCCGCGCAATTCTCGCCTCTCAACGCGAACATTACGCAGTAACCGAGCAAGCGACCTCGTATAAAATTTCACAATTCACAATTTCGACTTTTTTCAGAAAATTTGGATAAATTGGGGAAAATCTGAAGACGGATTTATAAAAAACAAGTACAGGAGTATATTATTTTATAAAATTTAAACTTACTTTGAACAATTTTGGGGAGATCCCATCAAGTTTTTCGTGGGAATGATTGCACAAATTGTGATTAGCGTTTTACAATTTACATGATATTCCTAATATACATACATACAAAATTTGACAACCATCGGTTCAGTAGTTTTGCAGATTATCTGTTTACAAAAATCGTCACGGACAGCGGAGACAGGCAGACAGACAAATTTTCGTTAGCATTTTACTTCATCCATGATATTGTTAAAACAAATTTAAAACATTTAAAATTTCGCAACAATTAGTTTAGTAGTTTCAAAGATTATCTGTCTAATAAAAATCGCTGACACGCGGCAGGCAGACAGAAACAGAAGACCTATCTGACTGTGTTCTAGGAGATATAAAACGCAGAGAAAACATGAGAAACTATGATTTAACCATTACAAAAATCTACAAATTTTAAAAATCAACTGTTTTTTTTTTAACAAATCCGTATTTTTTACGGCTTACAAAATCACAATACCATGTATTTATTTTTTCAAATCAATAAGGTTTGTGACGATGACGCATGTACTTGTTAGAACTCCATCACAAATTTTTAAATACATTTTTCAAATATATGAAAACAAGTATTTAGACCAAAAATGTATTATAAAAGATGAATTACAAAATTTTCTTCAGAAAAAGCAACGTATTAACTATCATCAATCAATTTTGGTAAAAAATGTCCAGATAAACTCACTTAAAAAGCACCATTTTTACTAAAGTCAATTAAAGAAAAACTATGGCAGTCATTAATAAATAGATTATAACCAGGGTTGGAATAAAATCGGATTTTTTACAAAAAAATAAAAAATCAATGATTTAAAAAAAAAAATCACGTTTTTTTTTAATTGCTTTTGGTTTTCTATTTTTCTTCGATTTTTTAAGTTTTTCGGTTACTCACATTAATTCAAACTTTAAAAATAGTAAGAAAAAAATAAAAAATTATGTGACTTTAGTTTGAACTTTTATTTTTATTTAGTTCTAAAAACTGTATATTTTATTTATTTATCCCAGATGTCTTTTTTGCTATTACTTTACGACACTGCCAAAGTTAAAAGAATCGGACTGTACTTGTACAGCCCTAGCGGTGTCTCAGAAAGGTAAATTGGGGCGGTACGCAGGTTGTATCCTTATTGAAAAAAAAAAAAAAAAATCAAAAAAATCAAAACTGATTTAAATCAATGATTTAAAAAAAAATCACTTGATTTAAATCAGGCCAACCGTGATTATAACAACAAAATATCCTATTTTTGGTGTTTGTGGGGTATCATCAACGTGATAGCGTTATCTTGCATAGAATGATTAACAAAAATTGGAAAAAGTGTTTCAAAGGATGTTTTAAAAATGTATGACCTGATGGCTGGACAATCCCACCCAAGAACTATTCACGTCAGCTCAAAAAATTACATTTATATGGGCATACGTTTCAAAGACAAGATAATTTTTTGTAAATAACTTAATTTTATAGATTAAAAAAACGAGAAAAATATACCGTTATCACCCCTACCTAGTTATGTTATTACATATAATAAATACAGGAAAGTACTAATAATAACGTTACTTACAATTCTGTCCACAGCTGACCATGAACTGCACATGGAAGTTTCATCCATTTGTTCAGGATACAAAAAATCCTCATCCCAACATTTTCCATCACATATAAAAAATTCATTATCAATATCGACTAGATCTCCATATATTATCCAATTACACAAATGTCGATAGAATATAACATTAAAAGAATGGGTGATCCTAAAAATTCCGTATTAGCAATTATAACAATACATTGAAACTACCATACTTTTCAGCGGCATTCACAATACAATCAACACCACAATAAATGTACTTATGCAACCTCCCCATTAACAAACACCCGTGCAGATTTTCCTTTTGTAAGACATCAATAACAGACTTCAACATATTAAACAAAACTTGATACTTTTCCAAACAACTGAATATGAAAGTAAGCGGTAACTGTGGATTTTGTAAAAAAGACTCTTCCAGGCGAACAATCTCATTTCGGTAATCCCCCAAAACATCGAGCACCCCATTTCCGAACGCTTTAATATATAAACCATGGGGAGTTAGCTGTATACTGCCTTCATTCACTTGGCCAAAATCAGTAGTTTTAGTTTGCTGTACTTTTTTACAGAACGCCACAATCCAGTGGTAGTTAGAAGCTATTTCCATAATATGTTGAAGCAGTTCTTTCTCCCCAGGGTGAAGAAATTCCTGTAGTTCATATAAATTTGACAACTAAAACGTAATCGGATTAGAGTCACGAAAACAAGTTGATATCAAACAACCTCTGATTCTTCAGATTTGTGCCACAAGTGAATTAGTGTTTCATGGAGCATGTTGATGATTTGAGGTTAGTTGCAAGAATTTTATTCAGCGTTCAATTGTTACTAGTTAATCATTAACTGCAACAAAAATTTTACGGACGTTAATTTGTTGACAAAAAATAAACAATTGGACAAATGAGGATAAATTTTCAATAGCAGTTTAGGACAAATTTTGTAGAAATGCTGCCAACGTTATAAATTGCAACTAGTGTCAGTGTGAAAGTTTTGGGTCAATACATTATAAGTTAAGAGTTTTAAGTGTAAGACAAGAAAGAATTGTTGCATTCTAATTTAAAATATTTGTTTAATGCGATGTAAACGTGTATGTAATGTATAGAAAAATAATTACAAAATGTGTCTTGTGCTCATTTAGTGGCGTTGCGTTGGCAGCTCTGCTATTTGTAGTCCATTTTTGAGGTGAGAGTTGGTTAGACACCAACTTGATTTGGTTATTGGTATAATTGTGAAAATAACGAGCTTTTGGCGGCAGTTAGCGAATCTAAAACTATTCGGTGTGAATTTAACCTGTAAGTGTTTCTTTCTTCTAAGTAGTAGTGTAACTAAAGTTCGATGTGAAATATTAGTAGGCTTTGAAGTGACAGTCGACGCCAGTTAACTTTGATGTCAACATTTTTGTGTTATTCAGTTGTTTAAATGGTTGAATTGAGGCTGAATTTGTTGTACTCAAACTGGATCAGCAACAGGAAATGTCAGAAAACATAGATGAGTTGCGGGTAAGGAACAGAGATTTCTTATAACCTTAACGTACAACCTCCCCAGAACTTAGTTGTGCTTGGACGATAGTGGCAATATATGTTTCAGCTTATCTCAAAGACTAAAACATATTTGATTGCTCATTGCTATTCGCACCGTCCATGTAAGTAGTCGTTGTTTCTTGCTCATTCGATTCAAGTTCTTCCACCAAACGTTAGCCCCTGTGTATTGTCTTCGACCAAGTAGTACCCTTGTTACTTGTCACAGTCACATACCCAAGACAATTTTTGTCAAAACGATCATTTTGTGTCACTTCCGGTTTTCATACATCAAAATTGACACTTAACAATAGAAATTTCAGCTATTAAGTTGTCATTAGCTGTCCATCTCCACATTGCCTACTTCTCACGACCGGTTTAGTGACCAGTGATTTTCAAATTTCGCACACCAGACGGTAAATATCATGCTGCCGTAACACCAACATGTTTGCTTTTGTTCAAGAATATGCTAATAACGTTTCGGGTGTCCGAGCTGCAGATGTTATTGGGTTTTGCTGGCAGGAATAAGTCAGGAAGAAAAACAGAACTTCAGCAGAGGGCTTTAGAGCTCTTGAGAGTCAGATCACATCCTATTCATCAGAAAATCAGGGATTTATATAAAACAATCCAGTTAGTATAAACACGTTTTATGTACTTTTTGTGTCTTAATTTTTTCAAAATGGATTTTCAGACAAAGTGGAACTTTAAATCAAGTACCAACTCCTTCTGTATCTCCTGGTAATAAGGATTTAAGCATGCCGCAAACGCAGGGTTCAGTACCGAGGACCACAGCCACAGTGCACCCATACAATATAGACAGTCGGCAATTGGCGGTAAGTAAAACCAGAGTTGTCTATGGAAAAATTTAATGCTCTTTGGGTGAAGCTGAAGTGCATAAAAGAAGGTTTTTGTCGCTAGATGGCGCTGGTACTAATTCTGACGACTACCAGTTGGACGCAATACATTAACTAGAATTTAGTACGCAAGGCCAGCGATCCTTCTGAGATTCAGATGGGAGATGATGAATGAGTGTGTCAGAATCATTTCTGAAGTCTGTAGCTCTTTTTGTTACGACATTTTGGCAGACGTTACTTTTCTGATCCCATTGTCAAATCATTCTCTGAGGGATCAATTTAAAGAAATTTAACAATAAGTAGGTTTATTATAACTGGAGAGCGGAAAATATGATCATATGATATGCATCAAATTTATGCAAATATGCAGTAACTTTCTTCATATATGCAGAGATATGCAGTTGCATGTGCTCCAAAAATAAAAAATAATAATCGAGTTAAATTTATTTACAAATTACAAAAACAGGTTTTCCGAGCTGATGTTTTATTACAAAAAATACATAAAACACATTTTTAAAGATAATATTCTTATACTAAAAAATAAATATAACGAGAACAAATTAAAAAATAGTAGTAAACGACTATTTAATTACCATTTTGGTAACAATTTACCTTTAAATATTTTTCGAAATATTCTAACAAAAAGTTTTTCAGGTGATTCTAAAGTATTTGTAAATAGAAAAACTGTACTATGTCCACAGATGCAAAAATACTTACCGGTTTAGAGCAGGCGCGACAAAATACAGTTCCTTCTTGAAGAATAAGTTCAGGAAAAGGTTTAATCCACAAATTAATTTGAGTTATCTTCGACATATTGATACACGTATATCGCTTTAAATGCTTTCAATGCAAACTCACGATGAAACATAACAGGATAACGTCCCTTCGACCACTATAAACCATACTATTCTCAAACCTTTCCTAGTTATTGGAAGCTCAGGACACTATTTGCAACATGCTTAATGAAATTTCGTCTTTCTAGATAAATGCCGATAGAATGACAATTATTTTTTTTAATTAGCATAAAAATGCAAAATATGCACCCGTTACGTGAAATCTGCGGTAGAAGGCAAACCTATGCAAATATGCAATTTTTTTATAGCTATATTCATTTCTAATTTACTAATTAGTATGATTCGTGCACTTAAATATGAAGACTTATATGCAAAAAATAACGGATATCCAAATTTCATAGAATCCGCTCTCTAGTTATAACGTTTCACAAGTTTCAGAGTGGGGGTTGCAGAATGAGTTGAGTGAAGTAATGAAGAGACAAGGAATGTAATTTGGGGGAGTGTAATTAGATGTTTGAAGTGGGAAAACTACCTTGTAGTAGTAGTGATTCGTTGCTTTTAATACGACATTATTACATGTAAATTTAAATGCACAGGTTTTTAAAAACCACTTCTTTTTTTTTTGTATCTTCATTTAGTTTTTAGATAATAATGCAAGAATAACAAAATTTCAAAAATCACTATTAACAGGGAAGATCATAAAAATTAAGCAACCGTGAAAACCGCAATTAGGCGTTAGGTAACAAGATCCTACCATAAGTAAAATCTTCTTTGCTATTACCTTTCATTCGAAATCTTACAGTCACATGAAATGACCATCCTCCATAATTCTTTGTTCGAGTTAAAGAGACTATGACCACAGGATTTGATGACTGGATACATTTTTAAATATGTCATAAACACACGAGCCAAATTTTCGCCGTATTGCGTACCGTTAATGTGTAGTATCGTTGAAAAACTATAGCAGAATATGAACTAGGTTTTAAAATACGATGTCAAAAAACAGCAGAAAAATGAAATTTTGAAAATATGAAGATTTAAAACAAAATCGATTTACAACGAAATTGTAATAAATAAAAGTTACATTTTAAAAACATAACTTAAGAGTCGGTACGTGAATTTGGAAATTCTCTTGTCATTTTCTATTCATTTGTGTTAAAATGAGTTTTTTATTTTTCAAAATGAAAGTCGTTTTTTTTTTCTCGAGCTTTCATGTCTTTTACATTTTCTGCTATTTAATGCATCATATTTTAGGTTTTACTTCAAGTTTTGTCTGCGATTTTTAACGGTAATAATAGTACTGATTCTAGAGGACTGTGATTGTATTCATGTCTTTAGATTTCTTTAAAAATATCGTTCTTTGTTACCTGCACGAAACGTGTTCCAAAATTTTGATGAAACGATTTTTTTTTATTATTGCAAATTTTGAAATTGATCTGCGAAAGAGTAATCATTAATACATACGTTGTTCAATAACAAGTTGTTCCAATTGAAATTGAAAGTCGTGCCTCAAACAATGCGTAAATGCCGCAGATCGTAATTCATGTGCCGTATCTGAGACATCGCTTGACTTTGAAAAGAAGGAAGTATAGTAATCAAGTCCATGCCAGTTTTATGTTTTTTGGATCTGTTATGACCCCAAGAGTACGAAAAAAGTGATTCTCTGTTTCGGTATTTTGAAATGATTTAAATGTCATACAACAATATAATCCTATGGTTGTGGTGTACGAATCCGCTTTGAGATTTCCCAAATTTTTGTAAAAAAAATTAACACAGGATGAGGACCGGTGGTCGCACGTTGAATGCCAAACTTAAGCTGGTCTTACACTGCGCAATAAAGTGAACAAGAAGTTGAACAAGTTTTAACGCAAGTAATATTGTGCAGTATCATACCAGAAATTGTGTGGAATGAAAAATTGTTTCGCAGAAAATAGAGCATGCTCTATTTTTGAAGCAATTTGTACACAATTTGTTGGTAATTCCGTGTAAAATGACTGAAACAGAGACTTTAAATACATAGACTGGCTGTTAGTAACATTTCTAATGCATTTTGGTGAAACCACGGCGCATGGTAGTATGGACGCTATTGCTATAGCTTTTATGTCAAATTAAGTGAGGTTGTGGTGGTTAGCATCAGTAGTTTCTAGCACAGAACGTTTCTAGACCTCGAAATAAAAGTGGTTGTGTGTCGGGACTTACGAGATTGTTTGTAAATATGGCCATTAAAAATGATTTGGTAACTAAATTGTTTGCCTTAACTTTGCAAAGTAGGACCATACATTTTTTTTCTACATAATGAACATTTGTTTAGTATGGATTAGTTGGACGTAAATAATTCTTATTTTAATTTATTGCTTAAATTAATTTTGAGAAATTATTTGACTCTTGGAATAGGTTATGAGTGCCGCTTAAGTACTGAGCGTGAAAAAGCTATCTCTTTAAGACAAAAATTCACGAAATTAATTTTGTTTCAAGGACGTTAATATTTTTAAAGGAATTTACATATACATATAGATATTATTATGCTAAATAAATAATTACAATTTGTTGTCTTTTTTATTTAACATTTTAAATTGCATTTTGTGACCGGAAAATTCAAATTTCGCGCACTTAGGGTTATAAGCAATATGGCGGTCGAAAAACTTCACATTTTTCCTGACACAGCCAACAACTTCAGTTCTTGCAGTTGATTGTATTTTTTCCTAGCCAAACGTATCGAGGCAGAATATAATGCTTCAAGGTTAGATTTCCAGATATAAGATACAGAAAAAACGAAAATGTTCCTTGGCATAAAAAAAAATAATTTAAAAAATGACACCCTGAATGGATTCAACCACATATTAGGGGACCATTCTAAATGTGCAAATTATTTTTGTAAACAAAGTGGACAAGGAAGTTCAACAGTTTTGTCTGATGAATTTGAAATTCTACGTTGTATGAAAAATTTTATGCCGCAAATTTATCATCTAGTTTTAAAAATGTAATAAGGGCCAGACAGCATTTACAGATACGTTATAAACAAATAACATGTCACAAAAAGAAACGTTCTTTAAAAAGAAAACAGCGCACACAAAGTGCAGATTTTAATTATGGACATATCGTCGCCTGAGAACTTGTTTGATCTACAGACCAGAGCGCACTCATGCCAATATCGACTCTAAGCGACTCATCTGATACATATCCACTACGAAGAACTAATCCGTTTCGACCATCTGGTCGGACTTTACATTTCAAATTGTATTATCAAATGGTAGAATGCTCACCAAAATTTGTCACCAACAATGAAATGACGTATTTTCCAAATTTTACAGTAGTGGATGTAATTTAAATTTTATATCCTCTGTTTATGGTTTATGAATCCGTGTTGAGTTTTTACCTTAGATGTCAAGATTTTTGGAAAAAAAATCAACAATATTTTCCAATTTATAGTTATTGGAAGCAAATGTTATTAAAATGTTAAAAAGTAGCATAGTCCTGAACTTGTGGTTTTTAAATACATTATTGAGATTATTCGGCTTTTCGATTTCTCGATTTTTCAACTTTAGATGATTCAACTTTTCAATAATTCAATTTTGGACATTTTCAATTTTTCTATTCTTTAAATTTTCGGTTTCTCCATTTTTTTTATTTTTCGATTTTTCTATTTTCCGATGTTTCAATGATACAATTTCTCAATTTTTATCCTTTTCAATTTTACTATTTCTAAATATTTTTCAAATTTTGACGTTTTTAAAAAAAAATCAGTTTTTCGATTTCTGAAGTAATCTTTTTTCTTGATTTTCCCATTTCTTCCCAAAGTTTTGATTTTTCATTTCTTTAAACTTACGATTTTTCGATTTCTGGATTTCCCGATTTTCAGTTTTTCGTTTTTTAAACTATACATTTTTCAATTTTACGACTGTTTTTTATTTCGATTTCTCAATTTTTCAACTTTTCGATATTTTACTTTCTCAATTTTTTAAAATTCTAGATTTTTGATTTCTCAAGTTTTCAGTTCCTCTATATTTCAATATTTCAATTTTCGGGATTTTTAAAATTTTCGATTTTCCATCTTTTTTTTTAACTTTTCGATTTTCAAATTTTCGATGTTTCGATTTTTCAATTTCTCGATTTTTAAATTTTAGATTTTCCAATTTTAATTTTTTGGATTTTTTCATGTTTGGATTATTTATTATTGCTAAACGT